ATGAGACAGGTATGAGACGTGGGACAGGTATGAGACAGGTATGAGACAGGTGGGACAGGTATGAGACAGGTATGAGACGTGGGACAGGTATGAGACAGGTATGAGACGTGGGACAGGTATGAGACAGGTATGAGACGTGGGACATGTATGAGACAGGTATGAGACGTGGGACAGGTAAGAGACAGGTGGATCTTGGTTGTTTCTTCTGTCCATCAGTGACCCAGACTGTCTCATGTCCATGTCTCAGGTGGAAACAGGTGTTGCTAAGATGAACACGCTGACCGTCGGCCCACCTGCAGAGCCACACCTGGTTACCACGGTTACCAAGATGCGGAGCAGCGCTGCAGCAGGGACAGACGTCCACTCTGTCTGCAGAACCCACAGGCCCACCCTGGAGACCAGCAGGACCACCGGAGGAGGCAGAACCAACCCTGCAGGACCGCAGGAGGAGGAGGAGGAGGAGGAGGAGGCAGGGCTGAGAGGAGGAGGAGGAGGAGCAGACCTTCACCTGAACCTGCTCCTCTTCAGCTCTGATGAAGAAGAACCTCTGCTGAGCAGAGAGCAGCTTCCTGCTCAGACAGAACCTCCTGTTCCTCAGAACCGGGCCGGAGGACCAGGATCCAACTCCAACAACAACAACAACCGTCCGTCTGGACCAGAACCACCTCCTGGGATCAGGGGACCTCCTGGTCCACTTTCAGATCCTGAACCGAGGATTTGGTTCTGTGGTCCAGCAGCCCTGCAGACCCCCCACACCACCTGTGATGGAGGCTTCGGTACCGGTCCAGAACCTGGTCCACATTCAGCATGTCCTGAACCACCAGGACTCCAGATCTCACAGGAACAGAACCCAGCTCCTGAACCTCTGACATCAAGTCTGGATCAGAAACCAGAACCTCATCCAGGAGCTCCAGAACCTCCATTTGTTGACCCTGCAGCTCCAGGAAGTCCAACTGTAAAACCTGCAGAACCACAGATACCCGGTCCGCTGCAGGTCCAGTTGAGACAGAGCAGAACCAGGAGACCAGAGCGTCCCAGCTCCCTGGACCTGTCCTCATCCTGCTTCTCCTCAGGTGGGTCCTCATGAGAACTTCATGGACTTTCCACAGGTTCTGCTGGACCTTCTGTAACACGTGTTCTTCTGGTTTCAGGAGGGTCTTCTGTGCCGGACCCTGGCAGTCTGAGCAGCACCGGGGACAAGATCAGACGGCGGGTGAAGACCCCGTACACCCTGAAGAAGTGGCGTCCAGCCTCCTGGGTGCTTTCTGCAGACCTGGCTCTGGATCTGGACCTGGAGATCAGCTCCACCAGCAGCGGTCAGATCCAGTTCTCCTCTAGTCCCCACAGAGCCCGAGGACTCAGCCTGAACCAGTCCAGGTCCAGCATGGCCGTCTTTCTGGTTGGAGGAGGAGCCACGGCCACCACGACCTCTGACCCTGACAAGATGACCCGCTTCTAATGGACTCCAGGTCCTGTTGGACTCTGACCCCCCATCAGAAGTGGGTTTTTACTGAAACATAGAGACTGAGCTGAGGTGTGGTCAGCAGGGGGCGCTGTGGGCTGAACATCCATGTTTCATCTGTGGATGATTGTTCCTGGCTCAGATCCTGGCTCAGATCCTGGCTCAGATCCTGGCTCAGATCCTGGCTCAGATCCTGACTCAGATCCTGACTCAGATCCTGGCTCAGATCCTGGCTCAGATCCTGGCTCATCCTGACTCAGATCCTGACTCAGATCCTGGCTCAGATCCTGGCTCATCCTGACTCAGATCCTGGCTCAGATCCTGGCTCAGATCCTGGCTCAGATCCTGGCTCAGATCCTGTGATCATGAGGACCAACAGCTGTTCTTGGTTCTGATGGAACCAGCTGCAGGTTTTGGACCCTGCTGGACCTCAGCTGTTCATTATGAGATCAGATTAGTTGTAAACTTGAGTCCATTTAAACGGATCTTTCCTCTTTTATTGATTTACAGAACAAACCTGCAGAAAACTGCTTCAGAACTTTATTTTCTTCTGTTTTTATAAGAAAATGATGTTTTATGACTTTTTGTTTTATAGAAAGTTTATATGAACACCTGTCTGCAGGTGTAGCCTAACCCTGACCATTTAGCCCAGACCTAACCTAAACCTGGGTCCTAAAC